TAAACTAAAGTAACTTTATTTATACTGGATAGCTCTATCAGTTCTAAACTGTTCTTCCCAGAGGTCCAGTAAAGATCATCTCTTATTGATCCAGTGTTACTACAGGAGGAAACCCAAACTAAACTAACATTATTTATACTGGATAGCTCTATCAGTTCTAAACTGTTCTTCCTAGAGGTCCAGTAAGGATCATCTCTTATTGATCCAGTGTTACTACAGGAGGAAACCTAAACTAAACTAACTTTATTTATACTGGATAGCTCTATCAGTTCTAAAATGTTCTTCGACCTAGAGAGGACACACCACTATTCTTGTAAAATGACATAATACAAGGATTAGAACCATAGGGTTAGGTTCATGAGTAAAATCATCTGGCATTAGACTTAGGAAGGATTGGTTTTAGAGTTAGGAAATTGATTGTAAATTTCATTTTCTCGTCAGCTGGTACAATGGGTTATATTACTGGCAGTACCAAACAGGAAAGTGACATCACCAAGTTTTATGGTGAGATTTACAGACATTATGCTCATGGTTGGATGTTGAACACGTTTTATGAAGTTCCTGGTATTGGCAAGATTGGATGGAGTGCATCCTCGTCACCATTTCAATTTGTCTATCTTAAACCTATTGCAAAGTAATGCATTCTGTAAACCATATTCTAGCTTAACTTAATTGCATGCTTGTACATTGTGGGAATTAAGGAAGGGGTGTGCATGTTGAGTTGCAAAGGACGGCAGGGGGTGGATATGACCTCATCTGCAAGGAGAGGTGCAGGTTTTCCATGGGGTGGTGCATGAGGGAGCCTTACTGCCCACTCTCCTCTGCAGTCTGCAACGCTACTATAAAGTTTATATCGGCTTTTTATCACGTATGCGTTGGACAGTTGCTGTAGCACAGTAAATTTGTGTTGCAGTAAATTTGTTTCCTAAAGGTACAATATATTTGAAAATATGGCTGAATAACAACCTCAACATGTTACATATTTAACCATGATATTCAACTAAAGCGTTCTGAGTATTTTCTCGTGAGCTCACAAATCAATTAAATCGTTTCAAGAAATCGACACGCGCTAACAGTAGAAGTTCCGCTAATCGCTTTTCGAAAAGTAGAAAATTCAAGCACATTTTTTAGGGTGGTGCTAGACTTCTCCAGAGGGAGGGGGAGGGGGGTACCACCACGGTATCTAAGGCCAGAGTACCCAGAGGAAAACTATAGCACCCAAAGAAAACGACGGGTCCATTATGTCAATATGTAATTCATATTTTTTGTGTATGTTTTGATGTTATGTACTCAGGTGAATGTCATGTTTTTGATGTTACTCTGAGTGTATATCCAGGCAGGCTGAAAAGTTAGCCTGACCACTTTATTAATGACATAAACTTTATTCCCAATGGTTCCTTGCAGTGCTCCAGTAGCGCATACGTGGGATTTAAAAATTGGTAAATGTTACATTCACACACAGTTGGTCACTGGCATCATAGGAAGACAGAATCACAATGTTGCAAATACGACTGGAGTTACAAATATGGTTAGTGGTTTTCGTTTGCGCCAAGTTTACACACGACGGATGAAACTGCGCACAGCTAACAACTCCTAAACGGACGAATTCCCGTGCAGGAACAAACTAGACGAATTTGCATACGGTGTTGTTTTAACATGTTAAGTTGCTCTAAATCATTTTGATTGAAACTAATAATTTTGATTGAAACTAATAATTTTGATTGAAACTAATAATTTTGATTCAGTGAAACTAATAATTTTTAATGGAAATAATAATTTTGATTGAAACTAATAATTTTGATTCAGTGAAACTAATAATTTTTAATGGAAATAATAATTTTGATTGAAACTAATAATTTTGATTGAAACTAAAAGTTAAGTTTGACTTATTAAGGCGCAATGCTCCCTCATGCGCTCGACTTTGTTAACTAGACTACCTGATCGCATTTGTGTTTTTACCCATCAAGCTTTTTACCAAATTGGGATAATTATGTCAGTTTAGGCTACGTTCATACTATACCGGATAGCCTTCTGTAGTGGCGCGAAAAAGCACCTATATCCGATACGGAATGTACAACTTTCAGAAGCTGAGCGAAACAACATCTCTCCGTTGCAATAATTCCTCTCAAAATAGCGTTCCTAAAAGGTACGGATAGCTGTTTTTCACCTCGCTACGGAAATCTATCTGGTCCGCTGCAGCACCGTAACAATTTTTTGCTAAGTCAAAACTGTCCTACTTTGTAGATCACACAGTTCGCTGCGACAGGTGGTCGGATGATCGGCATTGAGTTCACTGGTGAAAGACAGAAACAGTCTGGTATTGCGCTGGGGAAGAGTGATTGTAAGTACCAACTTTGTTGAAAACAAGCGATATTATCTGCACTTAAAAACAAAACAATTATATCTAGAATATATCTCCGCGCGATGCAAACATACAAAGGACTTATTGATCTTTCGTGTTGATTTTTCTGCTAGTAATGGGTGTCGACTTATTGTTCAACGTCCCCAAACATCCCAAACCAATTCTGTACAGCTATCAATGTGTGAATGTTCCTGTACGTATTATGTACCTTGGAACTGGTAAGCTGGTCAAGGTGGAGTGTGATTGGATGCAACATTTCGCCAGACATTTGCAGCAAGGGTGGAAACTCATCGATATTTTCTGGGACCAAAGCAAAAAAAGTCATGGAGGTAAGGTGATGTTGTTTGCTGTGCTGTGCTGTGGTGTGGTGTAATGTAGTATGGTGTGATGTGGTTGGATGTGATGTGATGTTGTGTGGTATGGTATAGTGTGCATGGTGTGGTATGGTATATATGCTGTGTGGTATGGTATATTGTGTGGTATGGTACACTGTGGTATGGTACACTGTGTGATATGGTACACTGTGTGATATGGTACACTGTGTGGTATGGTTATACTGTGTGGTATGGTATATATGCTGTGTGGTATGGTATGGTATGGTATGCTGTGTGGTATGGTATACTGTGTGGTATGGTATACTGTGTGGATGGTATACTGTGTGGTATGGTATACTGTGTGGTATGGTATACTGTGCATGTGGTATGGTACACTGTGTGATATGGTATACTGTGTGGATGGTATACTGTGTGGTATGGTATACTGTGTGGTATGGTATACTGTGTGGATGGTATACTGTGTGGTATGGTATACTGTGTGGTATGGTATACTGTGTGGTATGGTATACTGTGCATGTGGTATGGTACACTGTGTGATATGGTACACTGTGTGATATGGTATACTGTGTGGTATGGTATACTGTGTGGTATGGTATACTGTGTGGTATGGTATACTGTGTGGTATGGTATGCTGTGTGGTATGGTATGCTGTGTGGTATGGTATACTGTGTGGTATGGTATACTGTGTAGTATGGTATACTGTGTGGTATGGTATACTGTGTGGTATGGTATACTGTGTGGATGGTATACTGTGTGGATGGTATACTGTGTGGTATGGTATACTGTGTGGTATGGTATACTGTGTGGTATGGTATACTGTGTGGTATGGTATACTGTGTGGTATGGTATACTGTGTGGTATGATACACTGTTCGGAATGGTATACTGTGTGGTATGGTATGTCATTGTAACATAGGCTACGATCTATTCTCATTTTAGATCTAAGTTTATCAGGGGACCACAATTCAATCTGGTTCTTTGAGAAAGAGACAAGCAAACTGAAAGTGAACATGCCCGTTTGGGAAGGAACGATTGTTGAGTTTAAACACACAGTCAAGGTAGTACACAGTTTACAGACACTCGCACCTTTCTATGACGAACACTTCTCTACGGACAATTGCCTAGTCCCAACAAAATTCTCATAAACTTTCTTTAACAATAATCTCTATAATACGAAATACCCTCGATACGACAACGGACCCTAAAGCCCTCGTCAAACCAGAATGAAAATTGATGAGAGTTTGCAGTCTCGTGTGTGTTCCAACTATGTTTTAACTTCAATAGAATACATGATAGTGTTGGGAAAGCATTAAGAACAGCTAACCAAGATCGCGTGACTGTCAACTCTCATGAACTAAGATAAGTAAAACGACTTGCGTGATAGACAGTGTCACTTATTTTCTAGATTGGTCTTGGATCGACAAAACCCAAAAGTGACTGGACACCAATGTTCACAGAGATGGGAAGCCGTGGCTGGGAGCTTGCCTGCATGTTAGAATCGCCCGAAATCCTCAGCGTCGGCCTCGGAACTATTACATATAAAGTATTATTCTTTTTTCAACGTCCCATCATGCAACCTGCCCCAGGGGGATACCCCTCTCATGCCTACCCTCAAGCATACCCCCTCGGTCCTCAACCTAACCCCAATACCCCTCAAGCGTATCCCCCTCAAGCTTACCCTAACCCAGGCTATCCCCAAGCCCCACCGCCTTACACACAAGGTCCCCCTGGGGCAAGTGCCTATCCATATCCTAGCGCTCCCCCACCCTCTGGTCCACCTCGGCCACCTCCCCCTGGAAGCTCTGTCCCACCGGGGGTGCCATATAAACAATAGTTAATGTAAATAAGTAGCTATAGGTGGGTTTCACGCCAAGACTTTTCAAAAATATTAAGACTTTTCAACAATATTAAGAGTTTTCTATATAATGAAAAGAATTAACATAATTACATGTAATGCTGCCATTTGTTGCACGAAAATGGGTTGCTGGAACCCACCTATTCACAGCGTGAACGCTTAAGATTTTCTGGGAAAAGTAGTCCGGCCTTTCGCCACGAAAAACAATTCAGACATGTGAACAGCTAGACGTATTTCAATATTCAGTACAGAAAGCAATATGGACAATGATTTAGTATGATCATCGTTTATTGTTCTAAGCATCGTCGCATAGTTACTTTGGCGTGAAATTTATACAATGACGTTTGTGATACTAGAGTTTGCGAAATGGATAAATTAAACTAACCTTTGCAGCCTAGTCCCAGGCTCTCTCTCTATTCGCTGCTTTGATATATTTAAATATGTCTTAAAAGTTTTATGCCTGGGTGTGCTGTGACGTCACACCTAGGTCCCAGTCTCGTACTACATCCACGTTTTTTTCTCGCGCTTGCTTCAGAACGACTGGGACTAGGCTGTAACCTTTGTTAACCTTTATTTGTACTGCCTAGATAGCTCTGACTATCATGGCCAGTTTATATGCTATATACCAGATTGCGCTTGTCATAAAATCGAATTTAACCGTTTCAGCTGCACAACTTAACACCTGAAATTGCGATTATATTTAATCAACGTACATGCATAAAATCACAAGAACACATTAAAAATAACAAACAAATAGTGACACTGAGAGCCTACTTTAAATGAGTTTCAACTAGAATCATAATTGCTTTGTACCTTCGTCTTGCATAGAAAAATATTTTGATGATTAAATGAGAACGAAGAATTTATTTTACAAAGATTATTTAGATTGGTGAGAGCCGAGAGGATATGTCATTATTCATTAAGAATGTCGTTCGTCTCCAATCTATTATATGACAAAATAAGATATCTGTCTAATATAGGGCCTCCATTCTAGACGTTCTAAACTGTTCTCGTTCTCAGGGTTGAGGGTTCTGACATCCAGGGACTGTTCTTGTACAGATGAACCATATTTGGTTCCAATACATCTGACGTCACAAATGTTAGATTCGATTTTATTTTTCAATGGACATGGTCAAAATGACAAAATGGTCAAAACACACTTAAGTTATTGTTAATCAACTCGTAACACAGTAACCTGCTGTTAAGCCGACGTTAGACAGCATGTGGCTTCAACAATTGCCCGCCTTTTGTGGTTTAATATTCTGTTTTGGCGCCATCTGTCTCGAGTTTGATTTCACTCAGTACAACCAAAGTGGAATACTTTAAAACATGTCATCACTTTGCTTAGCAGGTAGTTATAGAAACTGGGCAACATAATATTCGTTTTCAAAACAAGCCAGGTCACATATTTGTGCATACATGCTGATCAAATTGCACAATTTTCACAGCATGTTTGTCTCATGACCTGATGATTCGAATTTTTGTGTAGGTGGTATGCGGGGTGGGTAATTAAAGACAATTAATGAGGGGAAAATCCCCTTGATGCCTTCTTCAAGTATGCCTAACCCAGTGGCCTAACCCTGCTCATTGTTGGCAAGAACACCATGTTGAAACGTCATTTCTTGCTTTTCGTCACAAAATAGATTTCAACTATTCATTTAGTTGAATTCATTTTCAACTACAGTTTTCAGAGATTAACCCATTAAGCGCCAGCGCTCTCCCCTTGACGAGTAAAATCGTCTGGCGTTAGACAGAGTAAAATACTCTGGCGTTAGACAGAGTCAAATACTAAAGTAGGGTGCATCAGGGCGCAATGCAACTCAATGGATTAACTAGACACATGGGCAGATAGGCCAGTTAATCCATTAAGCGCCAGCGCTCTCAGTCCCCTTGACGAGTTAAATCGTATGGCGTTAGGCAGAGTAAAATACTAAAGTAGGGTGCATCAGGGCGCAATGCAACTCAATGGGTTAAGGGCATAGCACGTTTACTCTGTACTTGATAGATTTCCGTAACGACGTGAAAAAACATCTATCCATACCTTTTAGGAACGCTATTTTCAGAGGAATTATTGCAACGGAAAGATGTTGTTTAGCTCAGCTTCTGAAAGTTGTACATTCCGTATCGGATATAGGTGCTTTTTCCGGCCGCTACGCCTACGAAAAGCTATCACTGGGTATAGAGAAATGTAGAACAGTATATTATTTCAATAGTACCATATTACCATTATACAGTGCGCATTTTTCAACTTTGTTATTTTTCATTCATGATACGATATAAATGAACCTAACACTTATCGCTGGGTTCAAGACTGCAAAATGCATCGACCGTATACAAAACTTTTTTTAAAAAGTAACTGTCAATAACTGCATACTTCTACTGTATAGGCAGACCTTTATTACTGAAGAGTCACTACTCTGCCTGCAGCGTAGTATTTTTTTATGCGCGCTTTCAGAATCATTCAAACGGGAGTATATCGTAATACATTGTTGTTTTTGTGCTTGAAACTCTCAGGTAGGTTGTTTTGTACAATACAAGTGTGAGTATCGGAAGGAGACACTTGTCATTGTCAGCAACATGTTAGAAAATTAACGATCAGATAATTACCTAGACAAAAAAGCGCTACAAATTAAAATCGGCTAGATTTTTAGAGATTGCGGGCGGCTTATTTTCCCCAAAATAACATTACAAAGTACTAAACCAAAATAAGACGAAATTTTATCGGCCAAATTTAGTTAAACTGAGGGATGAAGCTATTAACATGAGCACTCACGTATTCGCGCGACAAATACAATACTCTTTTTATCAATTGTCTAGCATGTTTCCGGAGTGATTTGTTTACTAGATATTATTGTTTCACGTTGACTTTATATGTATTTCACATCTTGAACCGATAAATGACAAATTATAATTATTTTTACTAGAAATGTCAGCTAGTTGCCCAGCTACGTCAGAACAGATTAATACGCGATAATCCCCAGGCCCAGTCAGGAAAACCTTCCAAAAAATATGTTTTTTCCCACATGATTAATAAACCATATGGTGATATGCCCTTTCCCGTCAACAATAATAATTCGTGTCAAAACTGCACCACACATCATTAAGACCTTTTATATGCGTTGATAAATATAATACAAAAAATACCTTTTTTACATAATTTGGCATATACCCAGCTTCATACTTTAACTTAAAGTCCTACGCTTAATACCATAATGTATACGAAATAATATATTTACAACATTTAACATCAAGCCCAATTAAATTTACAAACATTTTAAAGGCCAAAAATCGCGATTACATCAACACTCGCGACTTTTGTGTATCTAGCTACCGCAAAGAATTACTAAATATTTTTAATAGTTTTATACACAAGAAAGCTCTGGAAAGCGTAAAGGTTTATACAGCATGTCCTTGATTCAATCTGACATCCCAATTAGTTAGCGAATCGGAGTGTGCAATTTATATTTTTACTGCGGCTCAAAACGCAGGTGTTTATATTGTTATTTTAAAGTTTTTGGAGAACTATATTATTATATAACCTCAAAGCTTGTCTTGCATTATAATGTAGATTAACTTATTATCCTGGCAAGAACATCATACGATTTACCCCAGCTTCACTGATATCTTACATCTCGGTAACTTAGCTCCGTCCATAAATAATTTGTGGTTTTTTCAAATCGGTTGGAAATCCCATGCAAAATATTCTGTCAAAATAATCCTTAAATCGGCCGATATTTAAACAGTTTGCGATCTTGGCCGTCGTTCGATAGGGTGCTGTGATTTCATGTATTTTTTCTTGCGATACTTGCGACTTTCGTCCTTGGAAAAACAGCCTGAATTTAAAGCTCTTTCGCGATGAATGGCTGACAAAGTCAAGTCAAATTTGTCCTCTACTTCGGCCAAATCTTCGCCGTCCACTTCTTTAATGTCTTCCAAAGTTGGCTGATAAACTACGTCTCGGAATATTTTACTGATCGGTTTCTTACGCCGCTCGCACAATCCGTTCAGGAAACAAGTATCGATGCTTTTCTCTACGATCTCCAATTCCTTGCTGCCAAATGGGAACTTCTTGTGACCAGCAAGCTCGTCCGTTTTGACGTCTGGAATGACCCACGAATTGTCACTGGCGACTACCATTTTAGCAAGGGAAGCGATGTCCGTTTGTGTCGAAAGTCTACATCGCTGTTTGAATTGGAGAACGCGCAAAACAAACCTCCACGCTTTACAATGTTTGATCGTATTAAATGAAATATACAATTTTCCTTCTTGATGAAATAAACATCACAAAAACAATGATCACGTGCTTGGCCTAACGCACTCTGATTGGTCCACAGACTTTGTTTACTACGGCGAAGGGAAAAATTTACATTTACTTGTAAAAACAAAACATAGTTCTCAATAATAAAGCATTTTTGAACGCGTATTTAAACAGCTTAGGACAAAAGAAGCGAAGCAATAACAACCGGGATAGAATATTTGGGAACGAAACAATTATAGCTTTTACTATACAGAAATTTTAAATGAGTAACGTGCTTGAATATCATACACTGTGTCAACTATAATTGAATTTGAAAGGGCACATCAATCATCGCTCAATAAACTGCAGCCAATGTCGGAATTAATTGTTAGCAGATTAGCACAATGCTCTCAAATTACTGGTGGTTTTAATGAGACTGTACTGTACAAAAACAACGTGCTTGCGTACGTTATTTGAGGCGCGCTAAATTTAGTATCTGACTTTGCTTTTGTTTTGCATATATTGGACTTGCCAATAGTCAAAGCAAATGTGTTTAGACTTTCAGGGATATTTAGATATAAGATATGGGAACCTCCAAGCAGAGAATGCATCCGAGCGAATGAAAGGCTCTAATTAATAAAAACATGGGGGTGTTTTTATATTGAATACTTGAAAATAATCTCTAAGGTATATATGTAAACACTTCAGATATTGCAAACTATACTTGTCCTTATAAATATACATATATCTGTTTTGATTATTAGCTGAATGAGACAAAAGTATAAATAGATAATACACAGCAGTGTTTAGTGGTATGCATGGTCACTCAAGGTGTAGTTTTCTCAATTTTCAACTGATTTTAGTAACACTTTATAACCCAGATTGGCAGATACCTCAGCAGTCATCTAAGACTATTATGGAACTATGTTGTCGAGCTCTGAGCGACTGAGCTCTAACCAACTGAGCCACAGAGAGACAGTTGAGACTGAGAAAACTGCAAAGATTGGTTGCGAATTGTTGTAAAATGAGGAAAATATAGCCCTGTGAAGTTCGCAAATTTTGTATATATTTGCAATACACGCGGGAAAAATAACCATTTTTGAGCCGAAAGTGGTTATTTTTATCGCGCGTATATAAAATACAACATATTCAGTTCTTCATTTTACAACATTTAGCAATGAATTTTTGCAGTTTTACTCATTCTAAGACGCTCTTTCTAGCTCTGGACTGTGGTGTTGGATTTCGTTCGTCTTGCCTTGATCAAAATTTAGTCTAGAGCTGGAATTCATCCATTGTCGAAGGGATTTTGTATAAAAATTTAGAGTTAATTTTCACACTTAATTTAGGAATGAATATTCGATAGCTTTAAATTGTGGTTTCTAGCAAAACAAATTTGACTGTTTCAATCAGTGTAGTGTTTTGCGGCTTTGATGGTCACAATAAAATAACCTGCAGTTCTTCCATATTGCCCGGCATTGGGCTGGTATATATATTTTTGCGTCATGAAAGAATTCAATTATTTTTGCTTGCGGCGCGCAGCTGCAATCTAGTAAGTTTATACAAAAACGTAATAAGGCATGCACGCATACTCATGCAGCCGTATTACTGTAAGACCTGTTGCGGTTTATTTTACGACAAAGTTTACTTAACCTTTCAATTGCGGTTAGCCCACTATCTGTAAAATTGGGGATGTAAAATTGTCGACTCCGAAGTTGATATAAATGATTGCCTTCCCTTTCGGAAACTGTGGCTCAGTTGGTTATAGCTGCCCGCGCTATACACCGGAATCGCACGATACCAGAGGGCCTACTCTCTGTAGTTGCTTTTTTCGTAACTGGACCTGGTTAAGTCTAATACTATGTACAAGATTTCCATCTACTTTAGTAAAATGACCTAAAGGCACTAACTAAGGTGTTTCTCTCTTTCTTTTGTTTAAAAGCGAACCAAAGAGGACGGAAATGCTTTGAAAACGATTTCCTCCACAGGCATACGAAGTGTTCATTTACCCCCCAACGATCTTTGTACACATATACTTATAAAATGTGCCTTATAAGGCGTATACTGGAGTGCCCGCACTTGTGTCTTTGCAATATGACGATGGATGTAAATAGTCTTTCACTTAAAAAAAACACACAAAACGCATGCCGGCATGGTCGTAAAAAAAACGATGCTTTGAATGGTATTCGATTGATAAAAATCTAAAACTTGGCCGCGACATAGAATTTAACGACTGGTGTACGTATCTTCTGCTATTTTAACTGAACTGAATAACTTCAACATTGCAAATTTATAGCTAGAGAACAAATTATAGTATATAGGATTTCAATTCACAATACTGTACAAACAGTCAGTGAGGTTTAATTCCAAGGGTTAATAATTATTTTACGATTTTAAAATGCCTGACGGTAAGATTTGTGTAAGACAGAAGAGAACCATGACCCAAGTAAACCCTGCCCTCGACTTCCAGTAGCAGACTTAACTCCGAGGTAAGGGGCAGCCGATATCCTCCAGCCAAGGCCAGTAGCGAAGGGGTCAAGGGGGTCCGGTCTAAGGGGTGCCACCCCCCCCCCCCCACCCATGTTACGTCTGTTAGTAGAAGTTGGACCACTTTGTCGGCAACTAGGTGAGGTGTGGACCCCCCCAAACACATAATATTTGAATATTTAAGCCTGGTTTCCACATGGTCGTAAAGATTGAATCTCAGATTGAGTCACGATCTTTCTCATCAGCCGAAATGCAACATTTTAGAACTGAAAATACGCGGAGTGATTATAACTAGAGAATACTTATGATTTATATGTGGTTTACAGGTATGAACTATTATAAACTGGCCGTTGAGCAAGATCGTGACGTATCAAAACCAGGCTCTTCGGCGGCACATATAGTGCAATGAACGTTTACGGTGGCGCGGAAGTTCCTGTAGGGTGTGTACGCACGTCATTACGAAATAACTTTGGAAGATAATTAACGTGACGCAAATCTCATATGTAATGGCCCCCTGTAACATAAATTAACCTCAGTACTTCTATTGAATACTTTGTTCTTCAATGAGATCTAAGCAGTAGACTGCTCGGCGCGTATGACTTGATATGAAACATCTTAACTATATCTGGGACCAGTTTAATACGGTGGCTTGAAAAAATTCGTCGTTAAAAATTAGTTCCACCAGCTCCTATTATACCGTGCGGGCGCCCGACGGCTTATCCCAATAGCGCAGGCTAATGACGCTAATAGTTCAGTAATTTTAGCTCATTTTAAGGCCAAGGTTGGAAAACAATAGTAAAAAGTTAAAAATTGTTAGATGCAATCATTTAACTATCCTGAACAATATACTAAAAGTCCCCATGTATCGGCTCTTGGAGCTTTTTCCATTATGACAAGTTTTTTTTCGATTTCCCTATTACTCCCATACAGGGCCGCCGAGAGGTTGGCGGGGGCCCGGGGCAAATTGTTTTTTGGGGCCCCCTATCAAAAAATTTTTTCCGGAAAAAATTTTTTCCGGAAAACAAACTCCTCCCCCGTCGCCAAAAAATTTTCGGTCAGTGTACCATTTTAGGGGTAAAAATTTTTTTCCGGAGTAAAAAAATTTTCCGGACGAGTACGTTGCAATTGCTTTCCAGGAACTTTATCTCATTTTTTATGCCAGATTTCGGTACTTAGCCCAAGAAAACAGATATCTTGTCCTTTGCGCGGAAATATTTAACACACAAAAAAGACTGGGGCCCAACAAAAATTTTTCAGGGGCCTCCAGCACCTTGGGGCCCGGGGCAATTCCCCCCCCCCCCTCTCTGCGGCCCTGCTCCCATCCCATATTGTTAAAAAACGTAAAATTTCAAGTTCACTCATAACAAAAATAACTCGCATCACTAGGAAGCTCATAAAAACTACATAAAGACATTTAAACAGTCACCTAAATTTTTCAAGCGGTTTTCGAGTTATTGATGTTCCAATTGTGAAAAATAGGCCAAAATCTGGCAAAAATCCTGGGTACTAGTCTGACAGCACGTTTCCAACAGCTCATAACTCAAGAATAACTTGCAAAATGAAGGTAGCCGTTTAAATGTCTTATATGTAGTTTTTTGTAAGTTTTCTAATGATGTAACTTATTTCTCCTGTAAATGAATCTGAAATTTCACTTTTTTAACAATAGGGAAATCGAACAAAAAACTTGTCACAATGGAGAAAGCTCCAAGAGGATACATGAGGACTTTTAGTATGTTATCAATTTTTCTGACCTATTTTCTATTTTGATTGTACTATAAGTTCGATGGATAAGATGAACCAGCTTATTGAAGGCAAAACTTCTGCGAGAATCAGACATGAGATATTGGGCAAGAAATCAAAACCAAAGGTGGTCAAAGGTCATATAAACTAGAACAATCTAAAATGCACATTGTTATGACAATTTGAATATACTGTAGTTACTCGTTGCCATGGTGTATGATATATTAGATGTGGTTACAGTTGATTGTCAAAACGATAAAAGTCTACATCGGCTACATGTTCACCTACTTCTTAACGACCAAACCGAATTTTTGAATTCTTGCATGGCAAATAATTCAAATTAATTAGGATTAATTCAAACTCGTAGGTATACCAATGTACAATAGTCAATATAATGATTTTGGATCGTGGTTAAGGTCGAATCAATCGGAATTTCCATTTACAAAACTCTTCTACAATGTACAGTATCATTTTTATCAAGCGGATTTATATGTACATGGTACTGACACCTTGTTTCAGCTACAAATTCACTCAGCACATCTCACGTATATGCAATGTCGAATGCAGAGTCATCCGCAGTTTCACCACTCTTCATCTGCTACGAATCTTACGATAGTTTTTAACCTCCACTTCAATTGATAATTGATAAGTAAATTAATCAGTCTCCTGGTACACTATAAATAAGTTCTTTACAATCAGAACTAAAGCTTCGTTATATCACTTTCAAAGCATGCTAAATTTTATTAAATTTACAGAGAGACTAGAGTCTAGATTAAAACATAGAACTATACTGGTTATAATTGCTATATGTTTCCGAATTATATGTTAATGATATGTGTTTCATTGCCATACATGTTTCAATTTAGGACTAGCAAACTCTGTGACATTCAAACGCAATTTATTCTCTTCTGTACTGTCTGCTGACAGACGTTCTAAAATCGAGATTCCTTAAAAAATTGAACCTTACAGGAATCCTATATATAACTTCAATAATGACGTGTTTTAAGTCAGTCAAGATTTCTGACCTCGACTCGAGATGAACAAGCTTTCGTTGGTCCCTACTGAAAAATACCTTCGTCTCAGATGAAAGGCCTTCGCCTTCGGTCGAAATTCTCCTTACATTTTTCAGATAGTTGCATTCATTGATAGTTCATATTATTGCCACACTGACACAGAGAGTTCAAGATATTAGAGGCTACATGTAGCACAGATACCCATAATAAGACGAGTGATAGCAACGGAACTATAACAGCCAACTAAACAAAGATGGATTCTTGCACTTCACTTGGTGGAATTAATATTAGAATGTTAGGGTTTGTGATCCAAGTGAGAATATATACATTTTAAGACCTAACCAGGAACGACTGCGAAAAATGCAGCACAAGGTCCTCTGGTAGGAAGTGAAGTCCACCAAGTGAAGTGCAAGAATCCATCATTGAAGTCCACCTTATAACAACCCGCACACCCGATTACCTATATATACATGAACTTACGGTTACAGCTCAACAGCTGGCCTCTGTAGCTCAGTTGGTTAGAGCGCTGCACCGGAATCGCAGGGCCGTAGGTTCAATTCCTACCAGAGGACCTTGTGCTGCATTTTTCGCAGTCGTTCCTGGTTAGGTCTTAAAATGTATATATTCTCATTTGGATTACAAAGCCTAACATTCTAATACAACTAAACAAAGTACTAGGTAATATAGGACTGTATAAACACCCCCGCGTGAAGACAAATCTGGACACTGAAATATGGTCTAAACAAGACCTGTCATTTCATCGGCCATTTCGATGAACGAATGGAATGGACAATGGGATTAAACGCTAACAAAGAAAAGCCAGGAAAAACTAAATTAGGCTACCCATATGGGTTCCAGTCTAGGGGTACCCAAATACTCAATGGCAATGGTAAAAAAGCTTCGGACCTAAAAAATACAAGGAGAACTTAAACGCTTTGAGCGAAGGCCCTTCCGTCGGGAAGGCTCTTCGTTTGGCTACTAAAATCTCAAAGTTCTATTTGCATCTCTTGCTGTTTGGAATCTCCTAGATACCGCTGCTGTTCAGTGCAATTAGACTAGGGGTCAGACTAGTGGGCCGACATCATTTTCGGCGTCAGTACCTCATCAAAAAACACATCGAAAGCCCTTTGTCCGAGTTTAATGTTACCAGCATATAAGGTAATTTCTCAAGAATTTGCGTCCGCGTTGAAAATGCCAACAAAGTAAGCAAATATTTTGGCTGAACTTGTTGACTTTTACTGATATGTTTTCCACATGAAAATATTTAAATTAATCATGATTATAGATGCTTTCACAACAGAAATGGCGGTTAACCTAGTGAGAAAATGTTAATTCTTTTCGATCATTATATGTAGCTGTCCTGTAATTCTTCCATCACATATAATTGTAAGTTTGTAACCATATTGAACTATATAATATCTTCAAACAAATACACACGGCAGGATACAAAATTTACATAATTTTATTTTTTTTTTCAATACTTTAATTACTTCCATATTGAATGATTTGCCCGGCAAAAACATTTTAAACTGAACAAATTGTATCTTATCTTTTAAAGAACCCCAAACTACGTACTGAATAAGAAAAAAAGCTTTCTATTAACAATATTTAATAAAACTATTAGCAATATTTTTGGTTCGTTTTTTTTCAGTGTTTGCGTAATCTATATGATATAAGTATTAAACTCTATGTAAATTTCTCAAAGCTCAATGTCTGAGTAAACGTTCTCATAAAACACTCGACTCTAAAACATATATTAACTGGACAATCCAAATAAAAGTGTCTTTTCGTTCTCAGTAATGTTTTTCAAAGAATACACGTTGTTTTTGGCAATTATTTAGCGTTCTCTTGCAAACGTGCCATCCGTCACAACACAAGTCTGTCCTTCGTTGGGTCAAAAGTGCAACAATGTCATGTATTGTTCGTCACTAAACCATCGCTTTTATGCCTTCTTCGTCTTCGTTTGCCGTTTTCGTCGCCTTCTTCCTTGCCAGAACGATGATGTCGATGTCTGTGATGGCGGGAACGACTAGGGACATCGAATTTTGGCCGGCTACAATAGCGCCACGCTCGTTCTTGGTGAATGGCCGACAACGACAGATCGTACTCCTCTTCAGAACTCGCTACGTAGTCTAAAGCAATGTCTTGTTCTTCCACACATTCCTCGATGTCTTCAAGGCCAGGCAAATACGAGCTCTTTCGGAATATCTTTGTAATCGCCTTCTTCCTGCGATACGGCATCGGGCTTTCAACCGATTCATGGTTATGCATCGCCTCTACTTCTTCCTCGCTTGCATTTTTTTCGAAGTTATATTCATAATCGTACACATTCTCCGCCTTTTCCCATTGGCGTAATGTTACAGGAGCATCGTCTAGCGTTCTAAACTTGCACATCTTGCGAAATTATCTCTATCGACCTTCCTTTTGAAAATATATTCCACTTGTAAATCGATGAGATAATGTTTTTACTTTATAAGTAACAAGGTTGACGAAAACATCGCAAGTGATGACGTAAATATATCACGTGCTCAACATGAGCCAATGAGCGCGTGCGTAATTAATTCAGCATTGACGCACGAGCCCCATAATTATGAATACGAATATATTTTATAGGGTAGCATGACCTGCAATTTTGCCGTAAACACTTGCTTGTGTTCAAATGTTTTTTTTGTGAACATGCAAGCAAACAAAGCTCATAATATATTTTCTATTTACACATGCATAAAATCATGGCTGACTATGCATCCTGCAAACGCCGGAAATCTAACCTAGGATTAAGCGGACAAAAAAGGGTCATAAAATGCAATTTGGTTGACGTTTAATAAGTATTATTGTGATTAATAACCCAAAAATAATATAAATAATAGCACGAACGGGACTCTTGCACGTAAAATGTTGTCACGAATCTGATAAAATTTGTTGGAAATTGAGATGAATTCCTCCTAAGAGAATGATGTTAATTTGTTTCATTATACAATCTTGCATTTGGACGCAAACAAATATAATTGGGAGATTGTTGACCACAATTGCTTACCAAAGCGCACTGATTCACGGCATTGGACAGTGTTTGCTCTATTTTGCATGAAAATCCTACCCTGCCCCCCATATAGATTATCAGAACAGCTAAAACCAAAGTGGCGTCAAAAGGATGACAAGAGTTGACTATCATCACCTCTAATCGACTTTGAGCTGATTCAAATTTTAATGATGTTCATGATCGCTATCGCGCGGCATATCCAGTCAACTCTTGTTCTCGTTTAACTGGGGCATGAAAGTTGAGAAAACTCTCATGCAAACTCTCGCTTCTGAACTCTCATGCAAACTCTAGCTTCTCAACTCTCATAAACTCTCATGCAAACTCTCGCTTCTCAACTCCCATCAACTCTCGTGTAAACTCTCGCTTCTCAACTCTCATCAACTCTCGCTTCCTAACTCTCATGCAAACTCTCGCTTCTAAACTCTCATGCAAGCTCTCGCTTCTTAACTCTCATGCAAACTCTCGCTTCTCAACTCTCATCAACTCTCATGCAAACTCTCGCTTCTCAACTCCCATCAACTCTCATGCAAACTCTCGCTTCTCAACTCTCAGTCATCAACTCTCGCTTCCTAACTCTCATGCAAACTCTCGCTTCTAAACTCTCATGCAAGCTCTCGCTTCTTAACTCTCATGCAAACTCTCGCTTCTCAACTCTCATCAACTCTCGCTTCCTAACTCTCATGCAAACTCTCGCTTCTAAACTCTCATGCAAGCTCTCGCTTCTTAACTCTCATGCAAACTCTCGCTTCTCAACTCTCATCAACTCTCATACAAACTCTCGCTTCTTAACTCTCATCAACTCTCATGCAAACTCTCGCTTCTCAACTCTCATGCAAACTCTCACTTCTCAACTCTCATGCAAACTCTCACTTCTCAACTCTCGTCAACTTTCATTCTAGTTTGACCTGGTCTTTACACTTTGAAGATCTGAACTCATTAGCAAACCTTGACGCTTAAAAGTGCTGAAACTACTACATTTTCCAGTCAAGGTTACAACGATCCTACGTATTTTTGCTATCAGGCAATATCGCAGTTGTCAATCAGGCCCTAGATGTACGTCATAGGATGACGGTATTGTTTCCAAATTACTCTTTGGATAAAACAATTAACCTTGATTGAAAGTGATGCAAAAATATTGACAAAAGGTGCGTGAAAAGTGTGCCGTATCTTTAGAAAAGATTGCTTATCTGTAGAAATCTCTAATAGTGGATTTCTACTGAATATATTATCATGTTCCTGAATGCAGTTGGCTCTGAATTTGAAACACGGTGCCATCACAATAAAAATAATTAAATTTATATGGCTTTGAAGTACATCACGTTCCAAAATGATTGTTCGGAAACAGCTTTATAAATTAATATAGGCATTTCTGTTGAGACTAATTTGTTGCACTTGGCGCTATAAGCATGAATAATTTCATTGCACGCTCTTTGTCATGCTGTATCAATCGTGTATCACGACCTATAATCGGAAATCGCTTTTGAGAGAATATACGGAATGATAGAGCACTCAGAACAATGATTGGTTACATTCGCACTATTATGAAAATATTGAAATTATTATGAAAATAATAGGAAAAATTGTCATATAGATGTGCCTAGGCGAGTGACTGGTTTGTACTGGTTTGGTTTGGCAGTGCACTGGTTTGGTTTGGTTTGCTTTAGTCATTTCAGCAGGTGGTTCTACGCGTGCAGAGTAGCATGTACGAAGCCAATTAGCCAAAGGCAACTCCAATACTGACGCTCAAGAATCCTTTATGTAACACCACTATCAGAACAGTATATCAGAACAGAATATCAGAACTATATAACAAACAAAACTATATCAGAACTATATCACCATAATAACTAAGAACTATATTAGAACAATAAGAACTATATAACTATATCAGAACTATATCACCATATCAGAACTCTTATTTCAACAGGATGGTAAAATTATGAAACAGAGTTTGCGAAGTAGCTCCTCCAAATACTTTCTCTAGTGTGAACATTTAAACATTACCTAGTTTCTACTGTACTTGATGTAAGTTTGTTATGTACTTGGTCAAAATCGTGTGATTGTCCTTGTCAGTTGTCACAGGAGTGGACTGTTTCATTCTACTGGGAATATAGTATTCAAATTGTTAACTGTTTATCTATATATTATGTCGTATTTTGTTGGATAGGTATCTCGCATGGGGAATTTATTTATTATGGCCCGTTCGCACCTCTTATACCTTAATTTGGGTGTATTTTTCTGTGTATATATAAGTTGTTAATTTAACCCACTAAAGTGATTATGAGCATTAAAGGTGATGGATGCTCACTTCAGAAATGTTCACACTTTATGGCAAGAAGAAAATTTCACTCTAACAACTGCTGGCATGGTTGACCTCTATCTGCTGCACGATGAGTGAAACCCATCTATTGTGGGGCAAGGGTGGGGCAAGGGTGTTGGGTAAGATCGTCCCACTACCTTCATTTGGCTTGAATCATATGACCACGCGATTATCCAAACTATACAGATCCTACATTTGTGTCAAAGCAGAAAAGGAAATACTTTGATGCCCATGTAGACAAAACTTGTATGTAGGTTTTTCTATAAATATATTTGTGTTCCCACCAAAAAGGAAATGCCTATGCGCTTGGCATCTAGTTCCTTCCGTTACATTTATAAAAAATGATTGACGTACAAGAGCACTTCGCAGATTGGACCCCATAGCGTGGGTTGCCAGAAATTTAATCGTATATTCAAAAGCTCGCTGTATTGCCCTCTAGTTGAAGTAGGGGTACGTGCGAATTACGATTAGTCGTGATAAAAACCTGATAATCTTGCAATGAAAACGTGCTTCAATTCAAAATTGAACGCAAATATAAAACTGATGAAATCAAATTAAAGGCGGTTCCTGTTGAGCTTTTGTGTAAAATATGACTGGAATGGAAATAATATTGTATTTGAGCAAACTTTAATTCTCGTTAAAAAAACATTTCATGATTAGTTGCATAACCATTAATTATTAAGCTGCAATGCATCGCCCCACTTTGTTAGACATGCATCTCTTGTAAAGGGGAGTTGTGGTCAGCACGCTTGCCTTTCAAGCTGTTCAATCCTTGCTTGGACCTCTACTCAAGGTCTTAAAATAATTGAGGAGAAAGAACTACTTTTACATTGACATCAATAAATGGTTAGACTTTCGCGTCTTCTCGAACAAGGACGTTAAAATCGTAGGTACCTCGGATCCCCTATCAATTGGGAAATCCGTTCACGAATGAGTGCCAAGAAAACTCGATAAACTATAACCCGAAACGATTTTACTCGCCAAGTGCAAAGTATAAAGTGCATTTATAATGACTAAAAATTTGACTCATGCCTGTGAAAACCCCATGCTATTTCAGTACAATCTATATGCAAAACCGTAGCAAGCCAAGATGCTTTTAAGATAGCCCTATTAACATTTTCTACGTGACTTGTCTTAAAAAACTTGCAACATGTGCGCGCTCTGGCCTTATCTCGAAACAAAATATAGGCAACCCTTGCCCAACAAGTCAAATGTTTTAAGACAAGCGTGTTATAATTCACACAAGTATCATGTTTTAACAATTGTCAATAACACGAAAGAATTCGAAAACGCGTTTGCGTATGCTTTTAAGATAGCCCTATTAACATTTTCTACGTGACTTGTCTTAAAAAACTTGCAACATGTGCGCTCTGGCCTTATCTCGAAACAAAATATAGGCAACCCTTGCCCAACAAGTCAAATGTTTTAAGACAAGCTTGTTACAATTCACACAAGTATCATGTTTTAACAATAACACGAAAGAATTCGAAAACGCGTTTGCGTAAAGTTGAAGTGGTCAAAAGCATTTAAAATATTTATCCAATTGCAAGTACAATATTTACATATTGAAAAGCAATTTGGAGATCGAAATTTCATTAAACGCGCAGCAGCGGTTCAAAAGGAAAATATGAGGGCAAGATCAAAGTTCGCCTCGTGTTCGACTCCAAGGCAATGACGCACGTAATCACGTCACTGGCTTTCATGCACGAGCGATTCACCACAACCTGTCTTAAATTGTTTTTCATTTAAGCAAAATAGCGCCAAACTTAAGAAAAACATATACACTATGAACACAATTCAAGAGTCAAAACACACTAGCATGCACGCGAATTTATCCTGTTTTCTCATTGCCTGATTTGAAACGTGCGCGCCCAATATGGCTGAAATTTAAAGAATAGAATAGAAGCTTTATTTATACAAGTCACAAGAGTCACAATCAATAAAATACTACTGTTCTCCCAAATGGACATGTCGAAAATTTGATAGTAAATATACAGTAAATCTAACATATTGAAAGAGGTCTTGTAAATTTAATAACATAAACGATTTATTTGTTTTATCTCAAATAAATATCTCAAAATTATTTATATGTTTCATTTGGGTTACGAATTTTGGATTTGTGCATAACATTAGAATGTTGTTCATTCCCAACTTCTTCAGATCACAATGTTTACATGCTCTATCACAATAAGAAATATTGTTATATTTTTAATAAGCTAACAAAGTTCCTGTATCACTTCGTAGGGGTTAACAGAAAATGCCCAGGGCAATAATCATATCCAATTAAGACTCGCGGAAGCATGAAGTGAAATGGAAAGGTAAAACCAAAACCACTTGTGGTTTGAGAAAAATATCCGGCATTTTTAAAAACATTTCAAGATCTTGTTCAGACTTGTCACGATATTGTATTGTTTAATTTGTTTTCTTGTTTGCAACCATGGATATAGCAGAATTAACACTATTGGGTATCCGAGTGTTGATTTATCGTGCCCTTGGAATAATAAAGAAACTCTTGCAAAAACAACAATGCTCTCAGGCGTAAGGCTACGGGCCAAAACCAATCCATGTTCCAATTGTTCATTTGTGCCTTAGTGCCATTCTATTCACACTTTGCAATCTCATGTAACACAGCTCAATTCATTTTGCTCGTAACACAAAGAAACCTAACAATTATTTTTCCATTGATTTTATTCTTGGACTATAGTGACTGAATTAAGCCTTTATATAATGAGCTGGCTTATCTATCCTTAACAAGCATTCTCGATTTATTAATATATATGGTTTTCTAACACTTTTATATTATCTAATACCTATTCTCTTATTCCATTGTCTTAGAAATCTACTGTGTTCTTAAATGTGTTTGACAATAAGCGTTAAAAATCATATAATGCTGATGATAGTTTGCAGTGCCTCTTACTGTGAAGACGTATATTTAACTCCAGATAAATTTTCACGTGCATGAGAACTGAGATACGTGGGACACATCTTACATTGTCATCACATGAACTTCTGGTTGGAGCTCGACAACTGGTCTCTGTAGCTCAGTTGGTTAGAGCTCGACAACTATCTCTCTGTAGCTCAGTTGGTTAGAGCTCGACAACTGTCTCTCTGTAGCTCAGTTGGTTAGAGCTTGACAACTATCTCTCTGTAGCTCAGTTGGTTAGAGCTCGACAACTGTCTCTCTGTAGCTCAGTTGGTTAGAGCTCGACAACTGTCTCTCTGTAGCTCAGTTGGTTAGAGCTCGACAACTGTCTCTCTGTAGC